AAAGGTAACTCATAAGGTGAATATATATGAACGAAGGTAGCAGTTTTTCTTTAGGATTGAGAGGAGATGCAGGAAGATAATAAACAGGCAGGACAGAAAAATAGTCAAATAAAAACAAGTTTGTTTTTGTACCTGCTGGTTGCAACAAACAGACACCATTGAAGGTAATCAGAAGTGAGGAACAGAAAATGAAATAATTATTTTAATGTTTAGAGCAGCAGGAACTCTGAGAGGCTGCAGGCGCATCAGTGAGTTTGCGGCCGCTGCGCAGGGGAAGGGCTGAAGCAAGATGCAGAAACTACCGTTGTTAAAAAAGATGTGTTTAATTTTGAAAATGTGGGCGCAATTTTAACTGTCAAAAACTCCAGCAAACCAACCCGCTTCAGGTGTATGACATCATCAACGACTAGTCAAAGTTGACTCGATTTTCATTACTTGACTGTTCACTTTTTAAAAAAATTAAGTCATGGAGCCCCTAATTTACAAATAATTTATTACATGTCCACCTTAGTGGACAGCGTGCATTCTGAATATGAAATATGTTGGCTTGACTTACTGAAGTCCAAATGGAGGAGCTCAAATGCAATAAAGTCTTGAACAGCTGTGCTTAATAGCAAAATAAAAAATAAAATAAAACTATTTTGAGTACCTGTCCACTGTAGTGACCATTATGCATCAAAGGGTTAATTAAAAGCCGTGCTGAAAGGAAGCAGGGAATCACCGCCGTCTTGTCAGACGCTACAGGACAAGTAGCTTTTGTATTTAAGCCAAATGAAAATAACTTTCACTTCTCCAGTCTTGACGCCAACCTGCCTCCTTGTTGGCTGTTTATGTTCACTTCTCTGAAGATAAAACACCTCTGTATCACTTAAAACGAACCACCGCACCAATCAGGGTGGTACACTTGTCTAGCCTCCGTTACTACCCCCTCCCTATTGTGCTCCCTTGATCAGCAGGTACATTAATCCTTGTGTTGACTCTGCACCTGTACCAGCATGGGTCTAACTTCTCGATGATCAGCACTGACTGGATTGTGCACACAGCTGTGCTTGGGTGGCTCCCCGTCCATCCCAGAGCTGCTGACCGAGTGAGGGAGGCTGACTGTATCGATGGCTGATTAAAGCGTCCTGAAGGAAGGGTTGAACTAAAGCTTCCACCGCTCTAATTACAGAGGTAATGAGTCCTCAGGTTTTTAGCCCAAGTGGACAGAGAAGTCTCTAGAGAGGGACAAGTAAGCTCGGGTTCATAAATCAAGCCCCTCCCCTTGTTTTCAGAAAGTCCTTCCCCATCCCGCACGCAGGAATGGAAACACAAACATGCCCAATGATCTTTTCTAATTTAACCTGCAAAGACAACGGACAGCGGACGGCGTTCATCCTGAACTACAGAAAATCTAATCAGGGCCTACTCTCTCTGTGGTCCCCAGTGGACGGAGGACAACAGAGTAGAATGTGCAGGGCAAGGAGAACAGGACAAATGAAAAACAGGAGGGGAAAACTGCACCACTTTGCATAAAAGTAGTGATATTCTCAACAGCAGAGGTGGTGGGTGTTGCGTACCACTTCCCATCATGACCAGTGAGGTGCTGCACCGCGAAACATGTTATTACAGGAAACACGATAAGGTTATACTGCAAAATCCGTGTATAAATCCTCATATAGCATGTGTTTGTTTGAAGAAGTTGTACTTCAGGACCAAATTCAAATCTATACATGCAGTCAGCATCGACAAAGAGTGTGTACTAAGGTTTGGCCATATATATATAAAATTATTCTAAGTAATATCCGTCAGTACAAAAAAATGACAATGAGTGATACATTTGTACAAGCCTGACATGTACTGAATGAAGCAATCCACCAATCACAATCATTCCCACTCAGTTTTGCGTAAAGCAGGCCAAGAGGGTTCCTCATGCTTGAGATTGTCATTTTTCTAATTCAATTGTCTTTTTGATGCATCAATCAACAAAATCCTGCACTGCAATTGGTTTGAGCTACACATGAGAATAAGGGGCAGTAATTCAGACCAGCTGATGAAAATATGTGGATTTTGCCTCAGCAGAGGAGGCAGTGCCTCAGTGATTGGATCAGTGAGATCTCGTGTGAAACTTTGAAGCTAATATGACAAAGCTAACAAAGATTATGTTGAGAAAGAGATGCATCTAAAGGGATTTTTTTGTTTTCAGGAGTGAAATATGTTGGTTTGTGAACATAAAACTTGTTGTGGACTAACTAATTTATTGGCGGCCCTTAACTGGACCCTTGTGTATGTAAATCACCTGTGTACCTCACAGGACGATCATTCAGTGTCTTGGCTTGGACAATCCTCTACCGTGCACCATCTTGCCACAGGAGTCACCCAGGGCTCTGTACTAGGACCTCTTCTCTTTGCCATATACACCACCTCACTGGGTGAGATCATTCGATCACATGGCTTCTCCTACTACTGCTATGCAGACGACACCCAGGTCTATCTGTCATTTCCATCGGACGACCACACTGTCTCTGCACAAATATCAAACTGTCTCTCTGACATGTCAAAATGGATGAAATCCCACCATCTCCAACTCAACCTCTCTAAAACTGAACTACTTGTCATCCCAGCAAAACCCTCCATACAGCACAATATCTCAATCCAAAATGACTTCCTATCTCAGGCAGTTCGAAATCTGGGTGTTGTGATTGATGAACACTTGACCTTTAAAGATCATGTTGCCTCTGTTGCTCGTTCATGCCGCTTTGCGCTGTATAACATACGAAAGATCAGACCATACCTAACACAACATGCCACCCAGCTCCTGGTGCAATCTACCGTCATCTCCCGCCTCGATTACTGCAATGCCCTTCTAACTGGTCTTCCAGGCTGTACTGTGGGACCTCTTCAAATGGTCCAGAACGCAGTGGCGCGTCTGGTCTTCAATCAGCCAAAAAGAGCACACGTCACCCCTCTGTTCATTGACCTCCACTGGCTACCACTAGCAGCAAGCATCAAATTCTAATTGCTAACACTAGCATAAAAAGTCCGAGATGGTACGGCTCCCATCTACCTGAATCCTCTTGCAAAGGCTTACGTCTCAGCCCGGCCACTCCGGTCATCACAGGATCGTCGACTGGCAGTGCCTACACCACGCTCAGGACCATCCAGACTCTTCTCATGCATCGTTCCACAAATGTGGAATGACCTACCAAGCGCTATCAGAACAGGGGCTTCCTTTTCAATTTTCAAGAAACTCCTGAAGACCCTGCTCTTAAGAGAGCATTTTCTAAACTAGCACCTTCCCTGCACACGTCCCTACGCTCTACTGTCCGCTCCTTGTTCCCACTTCTCCATGAATGATGTCAAGTTGTTGTTGTTATTGTTGTTGTTAGCCTCAAGGGCAATATGCAGAATATCATTTGTAATTCGCTTTGGACAAAAGCATCTGCTAAATACATAAACATAAAAATATTGTTTTTGTTCAAGATGTTTCTGTTTTGCCAGTGATATGAGGCTTTGAATGGTGGGTTCGATGTTATTTAGAATTTCCTGAGAGGTTTAACGAAAGTGTTTATTGCATCTACTGTTAACTCATTCACTGCCAGCCGTTTCCTGATCGCTAAAGGCCTTGGCTGCCAGCATTTCTGGCCATTTTTACTGTTTTTTAAAGAGTGACAGAATGTTGCGCGCTAGGATGATGTTGACGCCAAAACAACCAAAACAAAGAGTAGACTCACCTCTTACATCAGGAAGAATCTGTGTGTTTTGAGCGTTATCCATTCTTTCATAATCTGTTGTCAATTTGTGATCGGCAGATGCATTTCCGGTTCGCGCCTCACTTTTTTTTTTACAGGAACGGCCCAAAACGATCTCCTAACACATGGATTTTCCTCTTCCTGATCATGTGACGTGTGATGTATGTAGATGAAGATCGGCGTCAGAGCTGAGATGTTTGTTCTCTCAGCGTGGGGGCTCATTCCGATGCCCAAACAGTAAAAAAATGCAAATGACAACTTTAGTCGTCATTGGCGGTGAACGGTTGGATCTAAAATGATGACTTTAGTCATCAATGGCAGTGAATGAGTTAAGGTTGCATACTTGATTGGCACTTGTCATTGGAATCACAAGAATCCTAGATTCTAAAGGTGTGTAATATGTAAACGTACATAGAAAAGTGTTGCAGAAAATATAGCTCATGAAAAACGATCTGCAAAGGGTTTAAACAATCACAGATGGTTGATGTATTCGTCTATTCGCCCAACCTTAGTGTGTGTTGGAGTGTGTGTTGTTACACATGGCATTACATTGTTGTGTCAATCAATCAGCACTTCCAGCACCATGAAATGGCTTCAATGGAAGTTGATCTATTGCAAAGGAAAATAGTAATGCTTTTAATTTGAAAAACTAGGGCAGGTATCATGTAGTGCTCCTAATACAGATATTTCAGTTTAATTGGATTTTGCACAAATTTCTTCAGTTTCAAACCCTAATAGATCAAAAGCCAGCATCTCCAGTGTCTCACTATTGGAGACATATCATGGACAGCATTCACGAATGTTGTTGAATATTTCAACAAGAACATACGCACAAATGTAGCTATGTATTTGCAGTTTTAAAACACAAAATTATATGCTAAACTACCATTTCGGTGGGATTCAACAGTCACAGCCCAGTGGTATACCGATCAAACAAGGTTGCTGCACAGTCTTCAAAAACAAATTCAAAGCTTTTCGTGCACCCTTACACTTGTGGTGAAGGAAAGATCCATGAGCAAATAGGGGTGCAGTTCATCCTACAGCAGGTTTGTTGGCAGTCTGTTTGACCTGCCTCATGATGGATCGTGGTACATTGCATGTGACACAGATTTTTGCATGCCTGCTGCATTCTATATTTGCATGGAAAAATATAAAGGTTATTCCTGTTAATGGCTTTTTTTTCCCGCACAGACTGACAAATGAGTATTTTGACAGGATCCACAACAAACACCAAGGAGGAAAATGGAATGAATAAGGAGTGCTTCCTACCTGTAGTGTACATGTGTGACTGTAGGAGGCCTGTAGCCAAAGATCCAGGTCTGGATGTCCATTGGTCTTGCTTTGGGGTACGCTATGGTCACATCTATAACCCACTGCAGGCCTTTACTTTTATTAGCTGAGGACAAACAGAAACATAGAGTGTTATCTGCAATTTAGGATATTTTTTTTATCAAAGCAACAGAAATATGATCAAAAAGCATTGCCACAAACAGTTGTCTGACTCCAGGAGCCTCTTAAGCAGATCATCCATCTCATATTCTGAAAAGAACTAGGTAGTACCGCACATAAATAACAGCAAAAACTAAACATTTTCACCTATAAGGTGAAATAAAAAAATACAAACAAATGTTTAAAGGTGTTTTATCTCTAAAAAAGGAGCAGGAGGTGACAGCTGGAGGAAAGAATGCCAGAAATATGTTTACTTTTGGATGTAGGCTAGAATAAGGACACAAACGTGTAAGTGTGAGCCAAGACTGCCACAAGAAAACGAGCCTGTCCTAACTTGTTATTGACCTGCCTTTCCCTGGACACTCACAGACCAAAAAAAAAAGCAACAATGCTTTATTTTTTTTCATAATTTGGTAGTCGTGTCTAGCTCTGTGCACTCTGGAGGAGGTGTTAGTGAGTCTAAGTGGTTGTAATTAGGTGAGTTGGTGCTTTGTTGCGTAAAATAGCAGCTTGTTAGGAGAGTCTTCCTAACAATAGAAGCTCTACCTGACTGTTTTGTTTGGGTGAAGAAAAGGGACTTTATCGCTGCATCTGTGGTAAAATAAATGTCTATATCTGCTGCTTGGTCATGCGGGAAAATGATGAAAATGCAAAAAATAAAATAAAAAAACCGAGAACTTTCTGATGGGATGTTGATGAGATTCAACTTCACAATAAAATCTTCTTTTCTGCTGTCTGCAAAGGGGCCGTCTCCATCAACTCTCTGGTTTCCCCTTTCTGCAATATTTAATATTCTAACAAAAGTGGTAAAAAGTACAATTTGTTGCAAAAGGTAAATAAATATAATTTTAGACTGAAAACAATGTGTGGACAGGATTCTTCCTAGCTTGCATGTAAAATTAGGACTGCACTGATTTGATGCAATGAAACATCAATGATGTCATTTGTTTTAAATAATGTGACATTTTTAAGGCGATCTTGGTCTGAGATGAAAACGTAACCATGGCGACAAATGATGCAAAGCTTCAATTTTCTGCATTAGCCAGTCAGGTAAGGGCTAAAAGACATTCACGTGCTGGCTCATGAGACTAGCATCTTTTTGTTTGTGTCATGATCAGACGTGAAGAAGGAGGTGTGGCCTGACGTTGCCATGGCATTGTCTTCATGTGCAAATAACAGATGAATGGAGAAATGGGTCAAAACAACAGTCCTTTTTGATGTTGTGTCAAGGTTAAGGCAGATGGCGACATTTTTCAGACCGAGTTTCTTCCAGAACATTTATAACGTTTTCTTCAATGATCATAATACTTAAGTATTTTGTTGCACTTTAGGATTAGCTTGTATTTAATCAATATATTTGCAGTGGTCTCTAATAAGAATGAATGCCTTCTACGTTGTTCTCGGAGGGAAAAATATAACGGTGCACCATTTCCAGGAACTAGAAGGGAGCCACATCACAGCTGAACTTCAGACAGCAAGTTTTGGGGTCTTATTTCCTGATATTGTACATATGGTACAGTATAAGGTGTAGGCATCTGATTAGGATGCCTCCCTGGTGAGGTTTTCAGGCATGCCCAACCGAGAGAAGACCCAAAGGAAGACCCATGGCACGCTGGAGGGACTATGTTTGTCGACTGGCCAGGGACCGCCTTAGGAATCCCCTGGAGTAGCTGGCCCAAGTGGCTGGAGAGAGGGAAGTCTGAGCTAGGGTTGTCACGGTAACCGGTATAGCGGTAAACCCAGGTAAAAAATTTGACAATAAAAATAACCGTCCAGTTTTTAAAAAAACTAAATTATCTCGGTGGGTTTACCGTGGCCGCGGTTTAGGCGCGGTGACCCTTACCAGCCACCGTCGCTTCTGCTGAAGTTCCCGCGCACACGCACTTTTTAGTTTGCAACCAAAACTTTGAAGCTGAAATAATGGCCGAAGGAGGAGACGGCAGCGCCCAGGACATCCATCAGCCCTCAAAGAAGACTAAATTGGAAGTATGGGCATATTTTGGATTTCTGAAAAATGCTGAGGGACAGTTAATAGAAGACGGCTATCCCGTTTGCAGAACGTGCAGGAAACAAGTGTCTGCAAAAGGCAGCAACACTTGGAATCTAATGGCACATCTGCGTGACAATCACCCACGTCTCTACAGCCAGTGCAAGGTAAGTTAACATTAGCATTTTAGCTTAAATGCATGACGTGAGGACTTTTGGTTGAGGGAGAATGCAACGAGTCACTACATACTGCAGCCGCAGCGTCCTCTGCCAGCATTTAAACCGTGTCACGGACACCCTGTTGCTGGATGAAGCATCTTATTTGTTGATGATGAAGAGAAATATACAATTAGTTCCTTGTCATTGATTTGTTTACTTATTCAATGCCATTTATACTTGAACATTTGGATTTGATTACATAGTGTAGTAGTTATTTTAGTAATTTGTTTAAAGTGGCTATTTATTTTAAATACATATTTTTTAAGGTTGACTTGTACAGTGCTCAAGTCAAGTGTGGACTGGAGTTTTAGATTTTCATTTTGATAATGAAGAAAACAAGTATATGAGAAAACAAGTGGTGTTTCTTTGATTTGTTTACATATTGTTTATGTTTTGAATGTTTGGATTTGAATAATTTAAACCTGCACTGACTACTGTAACACGTTCCAGAAAAAGAAGCTATTTGTTCCTTTACTTGTGAAAAGTTGCACTTTTGCTAAGGCTTTGTGTTATTTTAGGTTTAATAAACAATGTTAAACCTTTTCAGAACTATTTCAGTTTGTGTAGAACAGGACTATCAATGCTTTCTGAACATATGCAACACCGTTTAAAAAATACCGCGATAATACCGAAAACCGTGATAATTTTGGTCACAATAACCGTGAGGTTAAATTTTCATACCGTGACAACCCTAGTCTGAGCCTCCTTGCTTAGGCTGCTGCCCTCACGACCCGACTACAGATAAGCGTATTAAAATGGGTGGATGGAGTTCCTGATATTTGAACATCTCACCTTTGATTAGATAACAGCAACGTTAAAGTTTTATCTCCACAAATAACACAAGCCTGGAAGAGCTTCTGCTGTGTGGTGGAGTTGCTAATGCTAACGGTTAGCTTCTACTAGCCGAGATGTTCTCTGCTGTTTCCTGGACGCTAAACCAACAACAGCATTCCCCGTCATAAGTCAAAATGGGTGAGTCCATGAATGTTAAGTGACAGAGTGACGTAGATCTGTCAGGTTTTTCTAATCCTAGAGTTTTACTGTCTGTTTTCTATCAGAAGCTAATGCAGGAGATAGGTGTAGGAGACTAATTTCATGTTCAGCCTGCATGAAAATGGAATAACTCAGTGCCTAAAGATTAATTGAGAAATAATCCTTTAAACTGGGTTTTCAGTGTCCCACACCTTTAACGCTACTTTTACTTGATGCATGATCAATAATTAAGTTAATCAAGTTCAAAAACCTTCTACAACTAAAAACCTTGTTCAAATCGGTTTTCACAAACTGTACAACTGTTTTAATCCAAGCTGCAAGAACCATGCATCAGCTGAACGCAGGAGTTTCCCTCCAAAGATGAACACTCTGCATTTGCTTGTCAAATGTAAAAACAGCCAACAGCAGCAACCTCCGTCAGCACAGGGGGGGACTCAGAAATGTGAAGCAGTGCAGATTATTTGACTGCCTGCTTTGGGAGTCGGAGCCCATTCTGCTTTTAACGTGCAGCAAGCACTTCCTCGTCAAAAGAATAGCATTGTTCTTTGTGCAAAATCTGTCACGGCGCGAGACAGAAGAACCAAAATTTACAACTAGCTGCACACGTCAGTGTCAGCAGTTATAAAACAGAGAAGAACCTTAAAAATGTCGTAAATTTTATGAGGACAAAAAGAGCGGTGTGTGTGTGTGTGTGGGGGGGGGGGTGTAGTTTGAGTGTAACAGGAACAGTTACAGCAGCCACTCATGAGTAACAGCGTTCCTCTTATTTAGGGAAATCATGTTCAGAACAGAAACACCAATGCTCAAAGTTACTCCCAAAACAAACTCTGTCAACCAAATAAAGTCGTCTTTTCGAGCAATTCTGTGGTAAAAGTGATCATTTTAAGGCACCTCCACTTTTTGTACATTAACAGAGGTGTGCCAGCACACAAAAAGAAGTACTTGCCTCCTTAAATTTATTTTAATTCAAACAAAAACTGATGTAAAACCCAGGTTGGTATATTCATATCACACACTTAATGGTGTAGAAAAACAAGTGGTTCAACCTAGAAGCCTAAAACAGTGACTTTACTTGATACTGGATGTATGCGTAAGTGTTGACATCTTGCTCAAGAGCACTAAAGATGCTGGTGATGAAACAATTGAGTAACACAGAGATCCGTAGCATAACTGACACCCAACGCCCACAGAGTCATAGCTTTGCAGGTTAGATCGTAACCTCGTCCCATAACTTAGGGCAAGTTGTTTATTTTTACCCTGAGTTAAAGTGATGGTGTGTGTTTTCCCTGGCGATAGGGGGCAGTAAATACCATAATCATTGCAAGCCAACAATACTTTTGTGTTCGAGTAAGATCTTACCAACGGACGGCCATTAGGGTAATCAATCTCTGGGAGCACACCCTCCAACAAAACAACAAGCACATCAGACCCCCTTTCATCACTGGCAATGAGCGCAGAGGTAAATCTGTACAACAACAGTGATTTAGAATAGTTAAAGTTTTGTAACTGCTTTTTACAAATAAGCAGATGCATTTTGTTCTCACGAGCTCCCGTAGAAGGAAACATGGCTTCTAATATGGCGTAGGCAAGAGACTTAGGGTGTTTATCAATGCCAAGGAACCAAGATACGTCATCAGGAACCGCCTGGACGTGTTCCAATGTTCATGCTCTACCGAGGCGTGTGTTCTCCATTTGTTAGCCGTTTAGCTAGCTGAGCAACGATACACGAAAGGTGCCTTGGTCTAAAAT